AAAAAACAACAACAACAACAACAACAACAACAACAACAATAATCCAAAACGACATCACAGATTGACCTCTAATTGGTGTGCTACTCCTATTCTCTTATTACCTGGTGATAATAACAACATGTTATCCATACTGTCTGTTTCTCACCTCCGTCCCATCTGACACATTAGTAATTACTAACTATCCTTTTAGCCGCCTCTACACTCTAATGCACTTATACCATATCTAAGTCTATCATAAGTCCATTCAAAGTCATCTTCCCCCAAAAAATAAAAACCCGTCTTGGATTTTATGTATTAAATAATCGTAATCGATTCTCATTAATGTAGGTATTGAATTGATGGTCCATAAAATCTTCCAATTGAATAAATTCATTGGAAAAACCTTCAATAACCCATTACAGCCTATGCCAACAAACTTAAAATTTGCTCTAAAAATGATTAAATCGACTATCATACATTAATAACAAATCATTGGGCATAAAAATCTTTAGATGCAGTTTACTATCATAGTAACTCTTCTTCCATTTTTGAGTTGCTTCTATGTTGAAAAGAGCTTATATTTCATCCAATTCCTCTAATTTTACCAACCGAGAGTATAATGACTCATTGACACTGAGACATTCATCCAAAGTAATCTGTAAACTTAGAACCTCCAACTCAAAGATAAAATTGCCTCTTGGCCGTAAACTAGTTGAAATGGAGTAGTATTGGTAGTTACTTTATATGCAATACGATATGCCCATAAAGCCGTAAAGAGTTGGTCTTCCAATCGATAACTGCCCCCAAACTTGTCTTAGTTAAAACCTTGTACAAAATTCCGTTGGTCTTTTTTATTTATCCATTTGCGCAAGGATGATATGGAGTAGTTTTTCGATGCTTAATCTCATATGTGTTCGTCAAGGCGGCTATAGTAGCATTTATGAAATGAGTACCACGATCAGTAACCAATTCTTTTGGACACCCAAATCGAGTTATAATATTCTTGTAAAGAAAAGTAGCCACTATACTGGCATTATCATAACAAGTAGCAATAGCCTCTACTCATTTGGTTATATAGTCCGTGGCAACTAAAATATACTGCTTCTGGCCAGGTTTTCATGCTAGTGCAATGGGACTGACAAAATCAATACTTCATTTTTCAAACAATGCATATCCCAAGATTGGTACTAACGACATGGCTGAAGTGCCCCTAGATTGACCCATTCATTGACAGGGATCTCAACGACGAACAAATTGGTATGCATTAGAAAACATTATAGGCCACCAATATCTTGCCATTAAAGCCTTATGAGTAGTGATGTTGCCAACGAAATGATCACCACAACTATTCAAATGGCAATCCTTTAGTATCAACTATACTTTGAAAGATACATCATCTTAAAATGCCATCTTTGCATTGTTTATACAAAGCATCGTAAATCATCGTGTAAGGGATTGTCTTCAGAATGAGTCGCTTCTTAAGCTTCTCGGTGAAAGTCGACGGATAAGTGTGGAAGGTCAAAAATTGAATGATTTCACTATATTCGGGAGAAATCACATCCACTACAAATAATTTGGCATCGGGAAGAGCATCAAGGACAGGCTTGTTGCCGAGAATGTTAGACAACTGAGATAAATGATTAGCATTTGTATGTTTTTTTCTAGGTCGTAGAATAATCATAAAATTGAACTCTTATAGAAGTAATACCCACTGAATTGAGCCTTATTAATTATGTATTTAAAGGCATCATGATCCACATAAAATATAAACAGATATCTAAGTAAATAGTATCAAAACTTTTGAACCGAGCAAAATCTGATGCATCTATTTCCATAAAATATATCTTAGAGAAGTCAACAGAATATAAGTTTAGGGCAGAAATAAACTATCCACCTTTTGATTTGGAAGTGCCGCCTTCAATTCCTTATAACTCCTTCATATGAACTCCAAAAGTAATAATTCTTTCATAAAAGATGTAGACCTTAAAATTGCCGTTCCAATCGCACCTTCCGATCTTCAAAAGCGGCTGTAAAACTCCTCGTATCCTCCAAAGAGTAATAGTATATCTTAAATTAATACTTTAACTTTAAACGGCTATAACTTCTTCATCCTAACTCCAAATCTTCTAATTTTTGCACACATATTGTATCCAAAATCCTAAATTTTACAACCTTAGCTTGTAATCTCCAAATCCTTTTGAAAGAAGAACCCTAATCTCTAATAAGGCCTCGGGCAGCCTCTTTGAAGCCCATTGGGCATGGCCTTAAACCAATAGGAATGAAGTTTTTCATTCCTTGCTTTCATCCAACCATGCCTTGCTTTCATCCCTTCTAATTAGCCTCTTACTAGTTTAGATTTTCATCCTTAGGCTTCCACCTTCTTTCAAGGCTTCATACTAAATATTTAGGTCTTATATATATATTTTTTTAATATCAAAATCAAAACAAGTAAAGAAACAAAGTAAAGTTTCTTACACCAACTCTTTTTAATTTAATCTCCTAGCCACTTTAACACACATCTAGATTTATTAACATATAATATGTTTTAACTAATTTTTACATACTGTAAGTATTTACAGTACGATACCGCATCTATAAAGCTTCTAGGAAGCTTCTCTAGAAGACTTTATGAAATTATTCTATTTGACCTACTTCTACTTAATCATATAAGTAACTATTGAGGTAAATAAATATGTCCATGATAGTTGGTGCACTTGAGTCAGGGTTCAAACTGACTTATTAAACTTCCTTATTCTGTTGCCTATGCCATGTTAACAATGAATTGAATGTAAAACGATACTTTGGTGTGACTACTAGAAAATGCTTCATAGAAATAGAAGGCCGAATAGCATCCAGATCCTTCAAAATATCGTAGGATTCCATAATTAAGGTAATTTCTAATGCCCTCTTTGTTTTTATTGGGTTAAGTTTAACTTCGAGAGGTAAGATATTCTTCTGCCTTGGACTTGAAATTGGAATAGTAGCTTGAGTTTTATTGGAATTTGTATCTCCAAGAAGATCTTTCAATGGATAGGATGATTTCTAAAACTGCATAAAAAACGGAACCTTTTAGAACGGTGTCATGTTGTAACACGACTATATGGTGAAAATACAAAAGAAAAAGATTTTTATTAATATTTAGTCATCTTGAATATTAGTAGTAGCAGCCCATTCCAATGCCAATATTCAAGGCCCAATTATTGTTATCTCGTTGCAGTCAGTTGGGGCATACTTACTAGTAATGAAATATTTTGTTTAATTCCAATAACAAGAGTCAGCAAAAAGGAAAAAGACTAATTCAACGTTGAGTGAGCTTGATGTGAAGGGCCAATCTGACCCAAATACGGAGACGTCCAACCCAAGTCCTGTTACGGCCTCTTATCTAGTATGAGACCTGACTCGATTGGCAACCCAATGAGGTCCCATTGTGGAGGCTTTAGCTCCGTTGTAAGTTGTTTGATCGGCTAGTCCAATTCGGGAAGTCCAACGTGGGAGGATAATGGACCGTATAGGGGAGATAAGCTGTTCCGTCGATTGGATTAATTTGGGAGGTCCAAGGAGGGAGGATTGGACCGCATGGGGGAAAAAGCTCTATCGACTGGATCAATTTGGGAAGACCAAGGTGGAAGAATAGAGGGGCAAACGAGTGGAAGAATTTTGGAGAGGTGATTTTATGTCGTTTGGATCAGTATTGGATTTTGAGGAATTTTCAAAGCGAGTAATGTTCTCTGTGATTTTAGATCTTTGAGAAATAAAACCGGTTTACAAATTTGTGGATTTCGTGATTTTTGTAGCATTTTTATAGATATAAATTTAGAAACTTATTGGTATGCTTGTTGTCAATGTGTATAAGAGGTTTGAGGTCAATCGAATGGCTAGATCGATACATACAAAGATTTTGTGAGCTAAGGTCTCGGGATTTAGGATTTTGAAGACCAGTAAGATTTTCTTAGATATCTAACAATCTGCCTATTAGATTGGGGAGATTTTTAGTTTTATCAGTAGAAGACTTGATTTTCTATATGAAAGTAAAATTTGGAAGCAATCGAACAGTGGAAAAAAGAGATATCAGCGCTGGAAGTTTGGATCAGATTAGAAAAGGGGAGGTCGACCGACATCCGAGCGGAATTTTGAGGTCATCAACTAATTAGATCTTTTGTTGCAATTTTCTTTTACCTTCCACAGCCAAGTGCCCAGTGCATTTTTAAGCAAGATTTCATGTAATACGACATTAGTGGTGAATCGGACGTGAAAGCTTGAGATAGGAGGTATTAGAATTTGTTTATATTCATTATTATTTTTATGGAGAACGAGATTAAAAATTTTGAGGGAGTTTTTGGTGGAGTTTCTTCTAAAGGACAAGGTGTGTGCATGGATCCGTCCATTGCTAGTATGTTTCAAGCCTTATCATTATCTATGCAGCAACAGCAAAGCATTGATCGCAAGGAAGCTTTAGCAACCAAAGCTTCTAGGTGGTTGAATCTGCTCTCAAGGGGTCCGACTGGACGTTGTCATAATAGGTGAGCTAAGACACATTGCTTCCGAATGGTAGATTTGAACAAGTTAGGGGGATCCAGCCATCATCCAACAGTTTATTGGAGTAGGTGCAACTGTTACATCATCTACAGTTTCTGGGAGTTTTACAAGTCTCCTGTTAGTAATGCTTGGACTTAGGAAAGGAAACGTCAACAGTGTGTTATTGTTGTATTCCAATCATCCTTTGGCTTGTTGTGGAGAGAAGTACACTCTGGCAATCGAAAGCAGTTACTTGTTGACGTCGGGCACTTGATTTTTAACATTTGGATTCAATGCATATTAAGTCCGATGATTTCGTGAGGATGGCATCTTTAGTTTTTGATATCATTGGAATCGCAGCTCCCGACTTTTTCCACCGTCTTAGAGGTTGAGATCAGACTCACAACTCAACGAACCCAGCATTAAGAAACCTACGCTTATTCTCACACTGGATGTTTTTACAGTGAACACCAATATTCATTACGTTAACTGGGGCGGAAGACGCGATGGAGGAATCCTCATTGGTGGAAAAAGGGATGCCTATGGATCAGATGGTGCAACCGCTGGTGAAAGCAGGGATCACGGTGGTGCCTCCCCGGTTCATTCAGCCTGCGGAAAGCCGTCCAGGGCCCCCAGTCGAAGCAAACGGATCTCAAATTCCCGTCATTGACATGTCAGGACTGTACGACGAAAGACGAAACCAGGTTCTGGCCGAAATTGCCCACGCTTGTCAAGAGTGGGGTTTTTTTCAGGTACGTGATTCAGTCTACATATTCTCGTACTTTGGTTTCCTTCATCAATTCTTTGATGAGAAATCATCGGAATAGTTAGCATTTTGAGCCAGCAGCAGCCGAAATGCGTGTCTTGAAGTAAGTTGGAGGACCGATTGATAATATCATCAGTGAACTTTTACTCTCCATAACATAAAAGGATAACCCTCTTCTTTATCATTATTTTCATTCAAGTTTAAAGTGTTTCATCTAGTGTAGTATGAGAGCAACTAGTTAGCTGCCCTTGCACTCAAGAGAGGAGTGCTCGTTCATTCCAGCATTGGAAAAGTTATGATTTATTGCTCACTGTTTACCAGAGCGTTCAAGATTACTTCCTCATTTTTTCGTTCTTTGTTTATTAATTTAATTATTTTTCCTCTTATCTTACACGAGGGAGCTTGGGTAATTAATTTCAGGTCATAAACCATGGGGTATCACCAGCTTTGATGGCTGATATTCTAATGGTTACAAAAGAGTTCTTCGCACTGAGCCAGAAGGAAAAGGAAGTGAACGCTATGAAACCTGGTGCTACTGTCGGCTATGGGCGCCTCTTTGAGACCAAGAATAGTGTTGCCAATTGGATTGACCGCCTTGTCATGTGGACGTATGGTGAGAAGCAGAAACTCGCTGAGCCTTGCATGCCATTAAAGCCCCAACGACTCGGGTACATACAAACTCTCTGTGTGTGCTATATTGAGTTGCTCTAATTAATTGGAATGATGTGAGCTAAACTTTCAGATTCGAGGAATGACTCTTAAGTTCTTACTCTTTGCAATGCCTGGTATCGTTTTTGAACAGAGAAGTGGTTGATGCGTACTCAAACGCAGTTTATCAGCTTTGTAAACGACTCATCGAGACTCTAGCTGTAATGTTGGGTCTGGAACCTGACGTTTTGGGAGAACGCTTAAATGTTGAAGGTCTGGGAATAAGAACTTCCTGCAACTATTATCCTCCATGCCCACAACCAGAACTCGTGCTAGGTCTCACCCCCCACTCGGACTCTAGCATCTTCACTGTACTGCAACAAGATGGAGATGTTTTTGGACTAGAAACCCTGCATAATGGGCAATGGTTCCAGGTTCCCCCACTCAAGAATGCTTTCGTAATCAACGGTGGAAATCAATTGCAGGTAAACTTATATATCCTCATTTTACCCCACCACTGTATGATTTCGTTCTTCATTTTAGCAACCTTTCTGTACCTTCAACTCTGAAGGAATTGAATGATGGAAACAAAATTTCGCAGAATCAAAACAGCAAGAAAAAACGTGCTAGGCAGGACTAAGTTACTTTCAAAGCATCATTCAATTCATGTCGATTTCGTGAAGGCATTTGAGTTTGAGGGTTTAAATAATTTATAACCATCATGCTTTGCAGCACTTGCGTTATGCTTTACCTGCAGGTTTCAATGATATGACCTCAATGTTTGCGCAGATTATTTCCAATGCAAAATACAAGAGTGTGATGCACAGGGCGCGGACTAATACGCACGTCGGAAGATACAGCTTCCCCAACTTTCTGCTTCCCTCAGACCAGACTGTCATTGAACCGTTTCCAGAGTTCCTGTCCGAAGCAAACCCCCCGCTGTACAGGTCTTTGACCTTCGCCGAATACGTCAATGGGTTCCACTCCATGCCCTTTGCAGGGGGGCGCCACATTGACAACTTCTTGCTCACGCGCCCAGATCAATGACAGTACGTTTCCCTCTAAAGTAAATTTAGTATCACCTAATTTTTATAGCTAGATCTTATCCACTTTAGGGTGTTGTCCCTTGTCTTTCAGTTCACTTCAGAGGCTCACTAACTCAATGGGTCATGCAGTTGGTTCGATATAAGAGGATTTTTGCGGCTCATGTATATGCAGGTCCATGACGTAATTAGTCCGATTTGTTTTTAGGCATCATAGGTACTGATTTTTCATCGATTCAGAACTTTTTTTGGCATGCAAAGATGCATCAGATATAATCATTGCTCTGCCTCTGAGCGCATCATTTGCAGAATCTTATTCATTGTCCTGATTTTTATCAAAGCACTACTGTGTATGATTAGCGAGGGTATATCTCGGAGGACGCTGTATTCTAATCAGGCGGACTGATTCTTGTCGGTCATGCTCGTCTATACTAAGCTTCACTATTCAAGTTAGAGAAGATCGATACGAACCGTACGCGGCGATGCTCTGTAGTCGTTGGGTTCATTAGTTCCACCGCAATTGTGTGCGTTAGATTGCAGATCACTATCCGAATCATAGTTACACCACTTGCTGCATTAACAAACAAAAAAAAATGGCTCTACACGTACGACAGAGGCATCATCGACGTCCTAACGAAGTAGAAAATAAGGTACCCTTGCCGATGAAAACAAATATGGTGACAGATTGTTGAACTGATATTACGTTCAGGTACTGGAACGTTTCAGCAGACCCATAATCACCAGTGAGCCGCGCATTGTTCATTGTGATCCTGGTTTTCTTGCACTGCCGCCTTAGTGCAGTGTAGCGGCTTCCGAAGAAACATGCGATATAGCATTTCTGGAACAAATGATATTATAACAGACTCGTCTGTAGCCAGGTTGTGGATCAGCTGTGACAGTTAGTCTCTTGCGAACACAGGGCGACTCGTGCGGAGGGCACGGTCGATGGGCTGCTCTAGTTGTGCGGCGCGTGCGCGCAGTGCATCGGCGGCGGCGGGTAATTAAGTCGTTCGTGTCCGTTGAAGTCTAGATGGTTAGGATACTCAACTCCGGCATTCCTCTCACTCCAGTCGTTGTCCCACACCACCACAGAGATATGGCGACACTCAACTCCGGCTTTGCTCTCACTCCATCTGTTGTAGAAGCTTATTAGTTTAGAGCAGTGTTTTTGGTGTAGCTTGCCTTCGACTTCCATGCCCATATTGTTGCAGTGTCAAGGATTTGAGAAATTATTCTTACTTGATTCCTTCAGTTAGTACTGGTGCATTTCGCTGCCATTTATTTGCGCAATATCCTAGGCTGTTGCGTTAAGTCTGATCGAATGCTCAGAGGACCGATCTCTGCTTATGCGACGGATGTATGAACAAGATAATTCTGGTGGGGTAGAACGCAGCGTGATTCCTCTACGGTTGCTGCAGCGGGCCGAATTAGCGGCTGCACGTCCTTCTATCTGCTACTTCGTTTGATTCACGCTCAGTAGGTGTGTGGTGCTCAAGGAATATGCTTACAGAACAAGTCTTGGAGGCTTAGGTGTACTTTTGCGACAACCAAGGCGGAGGTGGATCCTGCTTCAACGGAGGTGGGAAGAGTGTATGTTCATGTATAGTTTTTTGGAGCAAGAGCAAGCTCATGAAGAAATCAGAAGCCGTTGCTCCATCCCCAGCCTGTGGCCCTTGATGATTTGTTAGTGGTAGATGTAGCTTTCTGGCTTCAGGATCTGAGCTAGCAGACATAACTTTTTGCGCTTCGGCGCTGAGCTTGGGGTGATTGCCCTCAGCGTTCCCACATCCCCCCGGGCAAACGGCTTGCCGCGACGACATGTCGGTCACAGCGCATAAAGCGCGTCGTTTCGACCTCATATGCCCCCCAGGCAAGTGGCTCGCTGCGGTAAGGGCGACTTGCCCGTAACGGCACTTAACGCGCCATCAATGTGCTTGTTTGTGTTAAAGTGTAGATTCTTGCTTTTGGTATTGGGCGAGTAGGCATGTTTCTTCGCGCTTCAGCGCTGTTTCGGCAAATCTGGCCGATGCCCTTGTAAATCAGTGCTGCGACACTCATATTCGCGATATTTGCACAATCTATCCCCAGTGGGTCCTCTTTGGTTAGGACACTCGGCTATCATCCGAGTGATCCGGGTTCGTAGCCCGGTAATAGAAGTGCCCGAGTGATATATAACTATAGATCATTTTTCATTTTTTCATTTTATTCTTTGTCATCTCTGCCAGGTCTGCCCTTCTCGTCGTTGTAGTCCTCCCGGCGAGAACCAAAGCCACATGGCTTTACACTCGCAAACGGAACAAGTGCCCTTCAAACTCCCTGGCTCCCTATACCTTCCCAATCTCACCCCACTTTAGCTCTCATCAGTGTCCAAGTCATGGAACTGACTCCATCTCTCTCAATCAAATACAACAAATCTACAGGGAGGTGCCTCTTCCAAACTTGCATCCAAACTCAACCCACAAGCCATCCTCCAAACCATCCATACAACTAGTCCAAAATCAACCCACAAGCCATCCCTCACACCATCCATACAACAAGTGGTGCAGCAGTGAAGAAATTTTCACCATAAAATTTTACAGAAATTTTAGTGCCACACCAACATTGATAGAAGCGACTAAAGTGAAATGTGCTGAAAAGTGCTATGAAAGGTTGTGTCAAAATCTGTGCAGCACTTGGTTTGGGCCCCAAATTCACCTGAAAATGGAAGAGTGGTGATACCTTATCACATTCAAGGGTAGATTTGCTAGACAAGGGTATTCTTCGTAGTTTAGAATATTTGAGGGGTATATATGATATTTTTCTTCAAAAAAAACAACTTAAAATTGATACACATGGAATCATATTTGATCGAATTTGGAAGAAAATAATTTTGAAAGTTTAACCACTTTATTTTGTAAGAGAATAAAAGGTATAATAAATTAATAGATAATTCTAAATAACTTAGAATAGGAAGTAAAAACCTTAATTTAATTTTTTTATTATTATTATCAAATCAAAATTAAAAGATTGTAACTAAGTTTTATAGATATTTAAAAATAATGAGTTTAAGAGTAATAAAAGGTGAGTCATTTTTTTTTTATCAAAAAATAGAAGTAAAAAAATATTATCTATAAATAAAATAAAAAAGATAATAAGCTCCATCGAGTCTTATTGTAACCGTATAGCTGCAAAAAGTTAGATTGAATTAAAGCAAGAAGAATAATAGTACATGTGGCTAAGAATTTTGGCAAAAAAAAATTATCGTATTTATTTAAAAAAACAGATTTTAAAATAAATAAATAAATAAATGATCAAATTTTTTGTTATTGAATATAAATAGGACATTTGGACATTTAAAATAAACCGAATCAATTTAAGTTGATAAGAAAAAAATACCAATAAGTATAATTTGAAAATACAAAAAAAATTAAAATTACTACACAAAGTACTATCAAAGCTTTCCAAATTTGGTGCTATCATATGTTCTACATTAATTATTGAAATAAAATTTTATAGTATGTAAAAATGTATGTAAGAAAAAAATTAAGAACTTAAATGCGTTAGTATATTGTGATTTACATAATATTGAAATTAATTAAAATCATTCAACAAAAATCAGTCATTAAAATATTTGCAATAATATAAAAAAATACATGTGAATCACCTTTTTTATATATTTTAAAAGACATTCGAAAAAATCGTGTATTATTAATTTTTTTTGAAAATACCTTAAAAAAAACTATTACATCACCTATTTGATGTTCTAAAGTTCATCAAGTATCTAGTGTGTCATCAAATTTTATTTTATTCAATAAATTTTTGTATATTATTTCTTCAATACCTTCTTAAAATTTAATGGAAAATTTTAAAGCTTTCTATCTAAGAAAAATCTTAATTTCTTTTTCATTTTAAAAAACTGATAAGATCATTATATTTAAAGTAAAAATAGACAAAAAATATTAAGATAATTTCATGTAATAATAAATAAATAACTAGAAATTTTAAATTATTTTAAAAAAATTGATTTTAGTGGATATACAAGGCTATTTCTATTTGAAAAGATTACGCAACATAAAATATATTATATTAAATTTAATCTAATAATTATCAAGGAAAATATTAAATAGATTCAATTTCTTATTAAATTGACTAATCCCATCTTAACCATCACAAACAAAAAAAATAACCTCTAGATTTATTTCTCTACTATTGCCATGGATATAAATATTTACTATAATATTTATCTATATAATTAAATAAAAATAGGTAAAAGTAGATTTATTTCATAATATTTTTTAGAAAAGAAGTAGAAGCTTCATAGATGCTGCTTTGACTTTACATGTATTTATAGTTGATTGGTAGGACAAAAGCTTTGTCAATAAGTTAACTATATGTTAGGAGCTTGCGGAACAAGCTAACTATGTGGGTTACATATAAAAAACTTGCCTTACAAGTTAAGATATGTGTCTTATAAAGTCAACATATTTTGGAGGTCCTATAGGATATTACTATGTAGCTCCTAGCTAAGAGTATATATAGAAGCAAGAGTGAAGCCTTCTTCACTCTTGTTAATACCTTTTTAGTCTTTAGACTTATTTCAAGACTTTCTAGTCTTCTTATCTTTGGCAATAGCCATTCTAGTTTAATACCATATCATCTTTGAGTGACTTTCTCGTTCTATTAAGTGATACAAGAGTGTATTAAGGATTTCTTTCTTTAAGATTCATGTTATTGAAAATTTGACAAGAGTACTAACTTATTGTTCTTATCTTGTTTTAAAAATAAATGGATTATTCTACTTCTATTATTGAATTTTGAAGGTTGCAGACTATCCACCTTTAAACAAACAATCTTATATTCTAATACTGATTTTTTTCTTAAAAAAAGTGGATTATCCCTCTTTATAGAAATTTTCATTTGATATTAGAGGTTACAGATTATCTTCCTCTAATTTAATCTTTTGAATTTGTTTGAATTGTCTATAGAAGAAAAGATTATAGATCCTATTCTTAGAAAAAGTGAAAATTAATTTGTAACTATTGCAAATCTTTATGTACTTATTAATACTCTAAGAGTAGAAATTTCATGTATTTCTAATATGAATCATCGAGGTACTATTCCTATGCCTATGGAAAAAGTTCAAAGTCTATATCAAAAAGTTGTGCAATTGAAGGAAGCAAATAAATCGACCTCATAACCAAATCCAAGAAGTTTTGCTTTTACAAATATGATAGAGATAATGATTAATATGCCTAAGAAGTATGATGGAACAAAATTGAATACTTATTATTTTATTACAATTTTATCACTTTTGATAAAAAAGC